GCAAGAATCTCCCCAGCCTGAAACCCAAGTCCCCAGGTAAGCCCAGCCACAACATTGTGAATTCCTCAAGGAGGTGCCAGTCTCATCGTCTTTCCCTCGCACCTCAGGAGATGAAAGAAAACGTTTTTCTCCCTGAGTCTGGCCTTCATAATTCCATTCCATCACAAGGGGCACTGCAACCTGTACCTTTGTGAACCAGTCGTAACTACCATTCATTCAGCACCGTTGTAACTTTGAACACTCGCTGAATGAATGGTCATTAAGCGAGGACTACCTGTATAGCCTTTTTATCCTTCTGTTCAGACAGTGGAAAAAAAGGCAATCCTTGACAGCAAGCTTTCAATTTAAAAGACATGACAGAGAATGAAAAAGGGTTAATAAACAAGCTTAGACATAATTTCTTTAGATTTCATACTGTACCTTAACTAATTATCAGCCGGGTATGGTTTAGAGAGAGAGAGAGAGAGAGAAATGGTTTATCTGCAGGGTGGATGAAATGTCCTTGCTTTCCACCTTAATCGCTGATGCTTTTTCTGAAATGGTTAGTATTTAATAACTATTTTTATAACAATCTTTTAAGATAATGTGGTATTGTTGTCATAGTACAGATGTAAAGTTGAAGTAAGGAGATTAAGCCTTACATGAAGGCACCAAATAGTTCATAGGTGAATGGCAATTTGTACCACAGATTTCCAGTTTGTGCTGTATTGCTGTCCTATAGAATTATAGTTTGGAAAGTCACCAGATACTTGTTCTTAAGTTGCATGCATCCTCAGCATTCATTTCAGAGAGTTTCTGTAATAATTCTCTAAATTATATAACACATTCCAAATCAATATGGTAGTTAATAAAAAATGAACAATTTTGACACAACTTTTTTGATAAAAAATTTCAGGAAACAAATGGAAAAATTAGACAAAATGGTCTGCCACGAAGGATAAACATGCTGTGAAGATGTTTTGCAAAACAGCTTACCATGAAGATACTGTGACTTCAGACTTACTACCTTCTGCTGACATATTTAGCCTGCTCAGAAATGTTTTTTGCATTTTCTAGAAAAAATGTGTCCCAGAAATTGAGTTTATTGTTGCTAGTTTTTGGTTTTATCTGGGGCATAATGTTACTGCGCTACACCTTTCAGCATCCAAGGCAACAGAGCAGTGCTGAATTGCGTGAACAAATACTTGACTTAAGTAAAAGATATGTTAGAGCCCTGGCAGAAGAAAACAAGAATGTAATAAATGGTGATAATGGAGTTGCAATGGCAGGATATGGTAAGCCTAAATAAACTATCTCTGTAAAATAATCCTCAGCTTAGTTTTACAAAATATATAAAGCAACATTATTGTAAAATTAGCATAAGGAGTTTTATATTTATAAAGTAGAACTAATGTTTGTTACATTTTCTGTGTTCTACTGAAGTATATAATAGTTTTCATTTCTAAAAAAAATTAGACTGCTTTTAATATTAAAGAGCTGATATACTGACATTGGATATGATATGTCTAAAAACATTTGCCTTGAATATTATAAGTTTATTGTCTAAATAATACCAGAAATGTAAAAATTTCTGGAAATTTTTAAACAATGGAGGATTTGGGGGAAATTGAAATATGTGCATTTTTTCCACTGTTTACATATATAGAATGGTTTTCAGTATATTATGTATAACTGGAGTGTTTATAGAGCATATTAGGTAAGTCAATTGTTTATATAGGCAACTCTACATTTATAGGGTTTATTTAGTGTTCTTAATTTGTTACAAATGAAGGTACAGTGTTGAGCTCTAAGGAATGTAGTGTTTGTTTGCTTTTCAGGCTAAATAATCAAAAAGTTAGAACTGAAAAATAGAGTAGTGTATTTAAAAAGTTTGCATATTTGAGCTCTAAGGAATGTAGTGTTTGTTTGCTTTTCAGGCTAAATAATCAAAAAGTTAGAACTGAAAAATAGAGTAGTGTATTTAAAAAGTTTGCATATTTGAGCTCTAAGGAATGTAGTGTTTGTTTGCTTTTCAGGCTAAATAATCAAAAAGTTAGAACTGAAAAATAGAGTAGTGTATTTAAAAAGTTTGCATATTCTGGATTTTTTCCACAATGAGAAAACTATTTTGTCACATGAAATTTTATCTGAGCAGTGTCACTTTTTGAGTCTTTTTTTTTCTCTAGCTGATCTGAAAAGAACAATTGCAGTTCTTCTAGATGACATCTTGCAACGCTTGGTCAAACTGGAAAACAAGGTTGATTACATGGTTGTAAATGGTTCAACAACAAACACTACAAATGGGAACTTGCTGCCATCTACTACAAGCAAACGAGTAAATGCACCAAACAAGCAAAGATAATAGTCAAAGTCACTTTGTGTAGCTGGAGCTACTTTGCATCTAATTCTTCTTCAGAAGAGAAGCACAGTTGGCTAAAGGCAGTCTGCATCCTGTTGCAACAGTAAAGCGAACACATACAGACCCAGCTTCTTTATCTAAAACCTTTGTGTTAAGATAGCTCTTTAATAAAGCAACATTGCACTGTATCTTTTAAAAAGTTACACTGGTAGTAAAGCTACTGTAGAAAGGTAAGTAGGTAACGTACATAAACGTATAGATACACACACACACATACACACAATCAGAGATCAAACTACCCAAAAAAACCCCTCAAAAACAAAAGAAAAGGAGGACTAACACAATAGGAAGAAAAAGAGGAACCAAGGAATTGATAAATCGCAAACCATACAGACAGCAACACGTCAACCAGCAATTTCCGGTATGAAACCCAGATCTTTCTTAGAGCAATCACAAACCAAACAATACTTCTAGAGAGTGACAACTTAGCAAAAACTAAATATTTTCTTCAGAGGTTGCCATTTGGTAGAAACAAGGAATTTTGCTCTGTCTCATGGAGATGCTGCTCTTGAAAACTGAGCAGCTGCCTAGCCTTTTGGCAGCCTCCCGCTCACAACTGGTACAAAGTTGGGATCCCCCAACTTTAATGCAAGCTCTAAATTGGGGCCGCTTCTTCCAGCAACTCCACAGCCATCTTCAGGCTCAGCCAAGCCTCCGGGAAGCTTTGAAGCGACAGCTGAAAAAAAAAGGTCTAGTCAGGTTAAGTCAGTTGAGGCGCTGCCCAGAGCTGCTGGGGTTGGCACTGCTGGAGAATCGGGCATTGCCCTCTACCACCCGCCACAGCCTTTTCTGTAGCTTCTTGATCCCAGCAACTGGTGGGGAGGAGCCCTTCATCAGTCTACTAGCAAGACGTAGAGCTGCCTCCCAACTTCTCCTTGGTCACTTGGAACCTCCTGTAAAAGAAACAGCTGGTGTTAAGCAATGGGAAGGCCTGCCAGTGAGAGTCCAGGCTCAGCTGCTGCTTTCGCAGCTACGAGATGATGGAGGAGGTGATGGGGACCAAGGCCGATCTTCCTCAGCCTTGTTGGACTGTTTGCCCTGCGGTCCTGTCCTCTATAGAACAGTGGCTGCAGCACTGGTGGAGCCTGGTTGGGAAGTGGAGGCCAGGGTGTTGCTCCTCCCTTGGTTGCTCCTCGGAGACCCAGCTCGTCTGTCATCATTCTGCCGCTTTCTGTCTCCCCAGTGTTTGGCTTCACTTTGTGCCCATTATCCTGAATTACTTGCTTCTTATTTGAGTTTCCTCTCAGCCTGGGGAAGCTGCCTCAGTTATGATCCTCTGCATGGGGAATGGCAAACTAGTGGTCTAAAAGAAGATGAAGTACCTTGGCAGGAGATGCAGGACCGTATCCGTTGCCTTTATCAGGTGCCAGAGCCTCTGGGCAGCGCAGTCCAGACTCGCCTAAGACAGCTTAAAGCCCAGGATGGGGACTTCGAAGTCCGAGGTCTGAGCATTTGGACTGATCTTTTACTGGATATGGAGATGCCTGCTTTTGAAAGGAAACCTGGGAGATTTATTATCTCCTGTAAAGTTTAACTCACAGTCACTAAAAATGTTGAATGAAAAAAGCATAGGTATTATACAAAGCAAGTGTAAAATTCTATGATAGTTACAAAAAGATATAGATTTAATAGCTAAATAAATGTAAACTTGGGGAAACTAGCTTGATCTTATGATCTGGTTTACTAATCCATAGTGAAGAAAGAATGCCTTTAAAGTGAGTGCTGTTAAGTATATATAGGTTAAATATTTTAAAATTAGCTGGCTGATTTTTGTTCCAATTGAGATTTATTCCATCCTAAAATGGTGGTCCAAAGAGTGTCTTTTATTTGCACTGTGAAGTAGCTTGAGAAAGAATGTTTTAAGAATAGTTACATTTGTGAAAACCTAAAGTAGCAATGTGCCAAAGTGCAATCTTGCTACAGAACTAGAGCAGTTAGTTGATTAAAAAATAAATTGTAATGTATATAGCTGTTCCAGAAACATTTAATACATGTATTTAGTAACTGAAGATACAGCCTAAGTGATAGAATCACACTAATTGGATATTGAGCACTATTAGCTTTTTATTCATTGCTTTCCTATTTAATATATTTTACAACCTATAATACATGGGGCACACTGTCTCTTAAGTTATTCCTGAAACAAAATGAGGAAGGGGTTGAACTTTGATGATGGGAAGCAAGGCATTTTGATGTTTACTGAAAATCTGTGCTAAAGGGGTGCAGTCTGTTCTTGTGAAACAGCAATGACTGTGGTTTTATAACCAGATTCTTTTCAAATGAACTTGAAAGTAAATGGGAACAGAGATCAGCATTGCCTTATATCCATGTTAGCCTTACAGCAGAGAGTTGTGGTGAAGGTGCACTATATAACAGTGTACATTCTGCATCATAAATTATATAATGAAGTGCCAGTTTGGATTTTGCACCTATATGGAATGATTTCTAAAAGGGTGGTTCTATTTTTGCTTAAAATATGCTGTGTGGTTTTAAAAAACATTTATTTAGAAAAAGAGCAAGATTTGTGGTTCTAGATATACAGTCTCAAATGATGTTCCCTTCAGATGACTTTAGTATCTATAGGAAAGGTTAAAAAATAAAGTGATGTATATATGGTACAAGCAATGAGTCCCTAGTTGATCCTTTCACTTGCTTTTTCAAATGTTTTAATTAGATTTTTTAAAATTGTAATCCTGTAAAATAACTTAGGTCGAGTTATTTTAACTAGTATAGCTTCAGTGTTTTATCTGGTAAAGAAAACCAGAGACAAAATTTGGTGTAGTGGTTAAGGCATCAGGCTAGAAACTGGGAGACTGTGAGTCCTAGTCTGGCTTGAGGCACAAAGCCAGCTGGGTGACCTTGGGCTAGTCATTCTCTCCCAGCCCTGGGAAGGAGGCAATGGCAAACCGCTTCCAAAATCTTGCCAAGAAAACTGCAGGGACTACCCAGGCAGTTGTCAGGAGTCACCACTGCCTCGAAGGAACAAAAAACCAACACTAGAATGATCCTATGCCTATTTAGTTCTAAGTGTACCTCAGTACAAATCTCTGCATTTATTGAGGAATAAACCTAGCTGAATTCAGTAGAATATACATGTATAGACTTAATATTGCGTTTATTACAGTTGTGCATGGTTCAAAAATGATTTGAAAGAAATCCTTCTGAACTCAGGCAAGGTAACACAGCATTTCTCTGTTACAAAGTAGTCCTCGCTTAATGACCCTAATTGGGACTGGAATTTCCATCGCTAAGCAAAGTGGTCATTAGGCAAAACATGTGATCACACCTCTTAGCGATGGCAGTTCCTGTGGTCCCAGTTGGGGTTGTTAAGCCAGGACCTCATGCTTCTCCTGCCCTGCCAGGCTTGCCTCTGCTTTAACTCCCCTCACCGGCCTATCTCCCCCTTATCTCTGCCCTTTTGTCTGCCCTGCTACCTACCCCTGCCACCCTCCGCCTCCCTTCACTGTTGTCTTCCTCCCGCTGCTAAGGTACACCTGTCCAAGGCAGCTGCTGGCCCTTCACGAGGCCCTGTAAGGCCTCCCAGAAGCCTCACGGAGGCCAAGCAGCTGCCTTGGCTGGTTATGACTTGTCAGTGGCTGAAGAAAGATTATGGCAAAGGTCAAAAGGGGGTGGTAGGAGTAGGTGGCAGAGTGCAGGGTAGTCAAAAGGACAGAGATGGGGGAGATAGCTGGGTGGGGGGAGTTGAAGTGCACACTACGGTTGTTAATGAGAGCAGACTGCTAATCAACCAAATTTTGATCATGTGACTGCAGGGGCACTACAACAACTGTAACTTTGAGGACCAGTCATAACTAACTTGTTCAGCATCGTTGTAACTTCAGATGGTTGCTGAACGAATAGTCATTAAGCAAGCGCTATCTGCATTGTTTATAGCAGCCACATCTTTTTCCACATGAGCCTGAAAAAAAAATGTGGATGCTTTGAAAGTCACATTGACAATGTGACTACTTTAATATATTGACTTGTCTTTTTTGTTAGGCTCATGGAAACCTGAATAAAGAGGTAGCTGCTTTAATGAATAGCAAAGGTGCTGTGCTCAGGCTTTTGTGAATTCCAAGGTGCTTCTTCCAAGTTACTTTTGAAGCATACATGGACTTCTTATTGTCTGAAATAGGGGATCGCTAAGTACCTATCTGAACAGTAATGTACCATTTGTATTGCTCCTGTATGTTCTTTTACAATCAGAAAAAAAAATCTGTTAAAGAAAAGACAGAATAGCTCCTTAATACAGTGTAATGCATTGGGAACTTTGTCCCTCTGGAAATGTCCATTGAATGAAACAGTTTTAATTGTAGATGGTATTATTGCCTAGAAACTCAGGCATCTGAGTTTGCATGAAGCCGATTTAAAAAACAAAACAAAACTTGATCCCTGAATTTGGGGGAGAGGCTAACTTTGCAAAATGGCTTTTTTGCCCTGCCTGATAGCATGAATCTCAAGTACTTCAGGCCAAGCAAAAAGTGTTTATTAAGGGGGGGGTCCAGTCTTTATATAGGGTACAGAAACAAATAATATGTTTTATTGTTCAGTATGTTCAGTATATGTGATGTGTCAGAAAGCAACAAATCAAACAATAGGAGACATTAATTAGATATGAAAATTAAACCATAGAAAACACTGATCCTAGATAACATTCCACAAGTGGCAAATTTATGGGTTACATCACCCCTTTTCCCAAGTGAATTTGTATCTTTCTAAATACTTACAAGTGTATTCAAGAACTTCTAGAATACGGTAACTATTTTTTAGTTGCTGGAAAGGCTAGTTCTTGCATATCAAAAGAAGAAATGGCTTTGGTTAAAAAGAAAACATGGTTTCCTGAACTTTAAAAGGAAGCAGGGATGCCATGCTAAAATGCTAATATCACCTTTATTAAAAAGCTAATAATGAAGCCTAAAATTCCAGGTAACAGTATTAGCTGCTGGATGATACTGGATTGGTGCAGCTTTATCAGAACATGCAGAGAAGTTCTTCAAAAAGTGATAATTATTCGGAATATTTGCATAAGTACTGGGAGACCAGTGTAATAGATAATAATTATTCCATATCAATACTCAATACATTGTCTCCTTATTTCCTGAGCGGCCAGAATGAATGCATGAAAAAACAACTGCAAGCACCCACCTGAGTGTGAGACTGGGAATGCTGCTAAATCATTGGGATCCAAAAATCTGAGGGTGGAGCAGGGTACTTACCTTGAGCAAGTTTTTTTCAGAGAGTTGAAGCCCCTGTAAGGGTTTGAATTGGACCTGCTGCTAATTTTCCATCAACAATGAGACTGTCTTCCAGTGACATTAACTGCACGTAGGTTTATTCCTTTGAGCCACACACACAATCTGACAGAACTGGTATGCTCTGAGTCCCATCAATTAAACAAGGCTACCTGGTGGGACCCAGAATTGGGTCTTCTTCGTCATGCCTGCCCTTTGGAACATCATTCCACCCAAGATTCATATAGTCCCCGCCCTGTCCAAACAAGCCCTTAAAATGTGGCTCTGTCCCCAGGCCCTGAGTTAGAATGGGTGGTAGACCCCTTGTGAGACGTTTTGGTCTTTTAACTGATATTTGTTAACTTTCTTTGGATGGCACCATCTGTGGTTTTTATGGTTGTACTCTGTAAGCCACCCAGAATCCTAACAGATTAGAATGGCCTATAAATAATATCAGATTTTTCATATATATATATATATAAATAAATTAAAAAAAAACAAACAAACTCAAGGCAGGGAACATACCTAATCCTCCTGCCTCCTACTTTCCCCGCAACAACAACCCTGTGAGGTGGGTTGGGCTGAGAGAGAGGGACTGGCCCAAAGTCACCCAGCTGCTTTCGTGCCTAAGGCAGGCCTAGAACTCACAGTCTCCTGGTTTCTAGGCCAGCACCTTAATCACTACACCAAACTGGCTCTCAGTTTCTATAATACATAGACAGTTCATATAATACATGAATCAACCATCTGGGGTGGAGTTAATATGATGCACTGAAGCACTAACTACCCTGGCTGGGTTCACTGGGCACCGTGAAGTTTGTGGCTCTGGGGGCTGTGCAAACTCAGCCTGTTTCAGGAGGGAGGGTGCCCTATCTTCACGTATTTCTTTACTGATGCCCGTATAGTACCGTACCACAAAGAGGTTAAAACTGTAATAAGGGTGTCACGTAGCAACGGAAGAGCGGCGGTTTCAACGGAACCTATCGAAAAACCAAGGCAGGCGCGCGGAGGCAACCTAGAGCCGTCGCCTCCAAGCAACGGCAGAGTCCTCCTGAGCGACGCTGCGGCCCAGCCGCTCCTCCTGACGGGGAGCCACCTCCCTCTCCCGCGAGGCCTTTGCTCCGCGCCGCGCCGCGCCGCGCGTCTCGCGTTCGTCCGGAAAGACTTTGCGGGATCTGTGAAACAGCATCTCCGCTGCCCAGTCGGCGGGGAGAGCCGGTAGGGGGGCCCCGGGGCCC